AAATCTAAAATCATTCCACAAAAACATAAAACAAGACGAAGACGTATTTGGGTAGTAAATAAATGAATTCTAACATAATTCTAGGATTTCCCAAGTTTTATTCCACGTGGCCATCCAGCACAAAAACACCCAGATAATGAGATGGAAAAGGCAGTAGTAGGGAAAGAAGAAGAAAATGAAACAAGAAGAGAGAAACATCCAATCCAATAAAAATATCCGCACCAACAACATCCACTCGACCTAGAAGAAGTAGGCCCTCCGCTTGGCGGCCTCGTACGTGAGGGGACAGACGACGCTGGCAACACTGTCGTAGATGGTTTGGGAACCTATTTCAACGGCGCGTTTCTTGCTGAGCTTGTTATACATATGCAAGATGTAGGCGTCTTTGTGGTCCTGCAAAAGAGAGGGGAGGTGAGTGGCTGCTTCTTGCCATTGTTCATATTGCAATCTACTTTATTCTGCAATTTGTGTGTGAGCGTGTCGCTATGACATGTTTTTTTTTTTCTATTTGTCGCATAACTCAATGTTTTTTTTTTTGTTACATAAAAAGTCAAATAGAAACCACTGAAGTACTTAATATATAGACATGAGTGTTAGCTTCAAGTATAATGAAAGAAGGTACCTGACTACTCTGTGAGTATGGTTTACACACACTTCACTTCGCAAGGATGTGGAAACTTTTAAATGTATTTCTCAGATTCAGTCAAAAAAAATTGACCCTATTACATATATTGTTTTTCATGTGGAAAGTGGAAGTTGCATGAGGGTTTGCATCTTGCCGAATCCTCCGCGAGTGAGTTCCGTGTCCGAATCATTCCAATCATCAAAGGCATTTGTCTGTTCACGTTGAAATCTTCTTAAGGTATGGTTGGAGAGCTAGGTGGAATTAAATCATAATGTAAGAAACCCCTTACCAGTGAAGGAAGGGCGCGTCTTAAGTTGCACAATCCTGAGCTTTGTGCTAAATAATGAATAAAATATTATTCATGTAAGGGCCGCAAAAATTGGCTCAAAAATCCATTTAAAAACAAGTTATTACTGGAAATGCAACCCCACAGCTAATTTAAGGAATCTGAGCTTACCATATGGTAGAACATATCATTCTATGAAAGTTTTCTTCTATACCATTTTCTGCGCAAATTGGTAATAACGGAGTTATAGAGGGTATAAAACACACGATTTCCAGGAGCCGCGGTAACCTTCCGCCTCCAGCGCCGCGACAAAATGACAAAAAGTCGTTAAGAGCGACGGGAAATCGGACGGGTTCGTAGCGGATGACGTATGCGAGGGAAATCAAATGAGCCAATTAGATTCGTACGTGAACGTGACGTGAACATAGACACTCAATAGAACCAATCAGATATGGAATATATCATCACGTGACAATAGAAGCTGGGCCTCGGGGAAGCTTTTTGAAATTCAAATTAGTTTCATCATGGCTAGAGAGTGTAGGTTCTGAGAACCATATTTCGATTTAATTGTGAAATTTCAACAAAATAACGAAGCAAGCTTATTAAATCTACAAGATCACGGTGTACTGCCAGTGGAAGTACAATGCCCGCACTGTAAAACACCGTGCCATTACAGAAAAGAGACACCAGTGGGTTTGTGGTGCATGGAAAATGATTTTAAAAAATCGAAGAAAGCAGTGTAAGCGATTGCAATTCCCGCCACCAACGACCTGGAATACCCGAATATCCCAGTGCCCCACAGCCTGGCCCGTCTGGAGTTGATGCTTCAGATGAGGTTAAAACTGTTCCTGGGTCTGGGCTCTCTCCTACCTGAACGTACGGTTAAGATTTTGCAGGGCAGCTCTACCTGAAAGGGAGTACATGGGGGCGAAACCCCCTATATCTACTGAAAACGTCTCAGATACCTGGTATGCCCGGTCTCTTATCTTGCTGGAACATTGAAGATTTTGTAGACCAGACGGGGTGGGGAGGTGACAGCCCTCCTCTGAAAGGGGGTTTAAGGAGGCAGAGCCCCGTATACAACCACCTGAGAGCTAGATTCGTTCGAAACACGACGAAAGCTGGGTTGCATTTCCAAATTTACCAAAAATAAATATTGAGCATATCTGATTCAAGCCAGTGTCATGTATATCAGCCCTCGAACTAGAATTATGCAATTTAATGTCTGCGATTACTAATGAAGACGCCTACTAATTAACAACCAATTAACGTTTGACTTACACGTTCAAGTACAACAAAAATTCTTTTTGCAAAAATTATTAATGTGACCCCAGACACCACATCCACAACTTGGACGTGACTTTTCCTAGAGTTTGTGGTTAAGATAGGTGTCCTTGGATCCTGAGGGATATGGGGGCCTTCGACACGGATTTTGTGTAAATAGGGAGTGCATATATATTGATTGATGCTATGGATAAAACATTTCAAAATAATATGGATGTAATTTAAGACACCAAAATGTCTGGGATTGCCAATTAAGACGCCTACTAATTAACGACCAATTAACGTTTTAATTACACTTTTAAATAAAAAAATGCGAAAGATAATTTTGTAACCACAGACAGCTTATCCACCACTTAAGAAACGATTTTTTTCTTAGGGTTTTAAGATAGGATGCTTGCTAATTAACGACCAATTATTAATTCGTTCACGATTTCAAGTACACACACGGGTTACTTTAGTTTTCGATAATTAACAGACTCCTGACAGCACATCAACAGTCGTACTTGCGGTTTCCCCAGTGAGACACTTTTTTGTTTTTGAAAACTATTCAATAGCTGGATGCCGAATGAGCTCGTTATAGGTTCTGTGGATTTCCAGTAACCTACAAACACTAGTAGGCCTACATGTCAATGTATACACGACACAGAATTGATTCACAATAGTTGCAAAAACATGAATTCATTTGTGCTTATTATCCAAATAAGCTGAAGGTTTACTATATCCCGAAAGGTAGGGATTCGTGGTGCAGGCAGAAATGCAGAGAAAGCCACATGAGATGGCTGCAGTGTCTTTAGTCCAAATAGACATGGTGGTTGAAGAGTTCGAGCCACGAAAAAATATGAGCCTAGCATGGGGCATGTTGAAGTTGGACATAAACTAACAGATTCGTTATATACTCTAGACTAAATAGAGCAATCTTATTGGTCTTTCGGGACATAGCACCTGTAGTGGGGTACAGGTTTCCGTAGTACAAAAAATATGCCTACTGTAGTACACCGTTATATCTTCAAAATGGATGCAGATATTATGGACAGAACATCGGACTTGATAATCCTGTTGACGAAGAGAGTTTGCCAAGTGGCCCCACGGGTAATGCTGGAGAGGCAACAGGTAAGAAAGGTAGCCTGAGAAATTCACAAATCTTGATTTTTTCCACTCTACAGGAGTCTTGGGTCAGTGGTTCTAAATGTATAATCCTGGATTTAGCTCTGTCATACGTATCAGGACCAATATGCAAAATGAAGCCCGTATGTTGTTGTTGTTGTTTTTTTTTCAGGATAAAGTGCATGCGCGATCTTCTATTCAAAAAGTCCCGTTTTTGTTTTCTGGTGTCTGAGTCTGGTGGAGATCCTATGCCATGTCGATGTATTGTGCAAGTCATGGAGAAGGAAAGTGGAAACCTACTGCCAGTGACTGAAGAGCGATGGGTGACGCTGTATTGCAGGTTGCGGGCCTTTGGCGACTTGAGCATTGTCACCCATCGTTCTTCAGCACTTCGGTGTAATTAAAACGTTCATTGGTCGTTAATTAGTAGGCGTCTTAATCGGCAACCCCAGACATTTTGGTGTCTTAAATTACATCCATGCTCATTTCAAATGTTTTATCCATAACATCAATCAAAACATGTGTACTCCCTCTTTTATACAAAATCAGTTTTGAAGGTCCCACATCCCTCAGGATCCAAGTACACCCATCTTACAAACAAACCCCAAGATGTGGATCTGGGCAATCATAAATAAAATCTCTCCCGGCAGCCGAAGCAGCAAGAACTCCTCTGGAAGAAGACCAGCAAGGGAGGCATGGCGCCACCTGCCGATTGCCCCTGCAACTTTTCCATGCGACGTAGCGCACAATCATGCCAAAACCGTTAGTAGTCAAGACATCCCCTTTCTATCTGGAATTCTACTTTTAGAAAAAGGCAACTACTTCAAGATAAGACATCAACTCTTTTTAAGACAACCTGCCTTGGCTACCTGGAGAAATCTTGCTTCCTTGTTGTCGTGAGGCCAACGGCGTCGACATCTAGAATCTTCGAAGAGCGACAGAGGAGAGGTGCTACTGTCTGCCACCTGGACCTGTAGTCGGCACCCTGTATTCAGCCGCTCCCGATGCTCTCGGACCTTTTCTGGATTTGGGAGGTTCAGATGTCGGTCCGACTGTCGGGATACGGGCCGGGACGTGGTGGACGCCTCTGTCGGGTAGACAGTCTGTTCGGACTCTCCAAAACTCCAAGACCGTCGTGGTTTCTGACAGTCGTCTTCTGGGGGCGACTCCTCAGGCCTGCGGCTGCAAAAGACCATCTCCCGACACTTTCCCGAGATCAGCACCAAGTGGTGTACACTTACCTTCACTCCACCAACGGGTAGCATTCCCGTGCCAGTATTGATCCTGGCAAAACTAGAAAATGACATCGACCAGAAAGGGTGGCTTGACGCCACATATCGATGGACGCCAAGAAGTGCACAATTATGCCAAGACCGTTAGTAAATCAAGACATCCCCTTCTGTCAAGATTTCTAATAAATAATTTTTGCAATAAGAATTTCTATAAGAATAAGAATCTATATGACACTGGAACACATGTGCTCGACACTTGTTTTTAAATGGATTTTTGAGCTACCGTTCGGGCCCCATAGGAACCAAAGCCAAGGTTCGTGCAACTTAAGACGACCCCTTCCTTCACTGGGAGGGGATCTCTAATAGAAGTACGCCATTAAACCTTTTGTACTCAACATTATGATTAAAGTCCTCCTTGCTCTCCAACTAGTAGGTGTGTGGTTGCTCAGATGTTGTTTGCTTACCTCTG